TCTCCCTGTACAGGAGGGTTGGAATACTGTGGTCGACACCCATAGGGTCTCCGCATGTAGTAAGGTGGGGACCTTCGCCTGCGGTAGGGCCAGCTTATTGGGCCTGGCCTTCAGGAGCACTCTCCATATATACTTAATAGGTTGCTACTACTATATATGCCTAACACTGTACTTACCAGGCTCTCTTCTAGAAAAGAAAAGAGATGGGTTCTTTTTCTCATAAGCCCTCATACCTTACTGCTTTCAACACAAACCTCCCATTCCGGCTACTCTCTCATAGTCCCCTAAACCAAGGTTTCTCAGTAACAGTACAATTGATAATTCTGGGTCAGATAATCCTTTGTTTTGGGAGAGTGTCCTGTGCATTGTAAATGTTTAGTGACAACTGTCTTCTTCAGACTAGATGTAAATAGTAGTCTCCCAGTTGTGACAACCAAAAATGTCTCCACTGTTAAATGTCCCTTAGGGGGCAAAATCTCCTCCAGTGGAGAATCATTGATCTAAACTTACCTTAAACCTAACCCACACCTTGATTTTCCCAAATTTCCTTACACTAATTTCTTCCCTGTATGATACACAAAACTCTTATTCTACCAGATCAAATATTTATTAAGCACAAACATCTTTTTCATCCTACCTCTCTCACTTTAAATAAACATTTGAATGTCCTTTGATATTCTTCTTTCAGATCTCTACTTAAATATTACTTCCTTGTAAAGAAATCATGTCATGATTATTCTTTAAAACAGCACTATTATTCTCTAACCCTTTGCTTTACTTTTCTTCATAGCACTATTACTACCCAATAAGATTTTTGTTTTTCTGTTTGTTGTCTTTGTCTTCCTCTAGATTGCAAGCACCATGAATGAAGACTTGGATTTTGTCTATTTTGTTTACTTAGTGCCCCCAGAACCTAAATCAGTGCTTACAACATAGTAGGCAATCAATATTTGTTTGTTAGCTGAATCAATGAATGACACTATCTTTCCCAACTCCCCTGAACTTAACAGCAGAGAAGATTCTTTCTGCTCCTCAGTGCAATGATCCTACTCATTTAACGGCTACTCTCTCTACTTCCCGTCAGTTAGAACCAATTCTGTAAACTAGAATGATCTCTCTCATTCATTATCTCTTTATCACATGAAGTATTCCTTCTTAGATTATTTCACTTCCCTAAGAAACATCCACCAAAATCTTCTAAACTTCTAAAATTTTGCTCTCTTCAGTTGGCTTTTCTTTGCCAGCTGAGCACTTCCATATGGATGTATATAATCTTATATTCAACATGTGCAAAACAGAACTGTCTTTCTCAACACCAATCACCTCCCCTGTCCCAGGCACCTATAGGGTTAAACTTAGAGTGATCTTGATCTACATGTACTATATCCGGTCTCCCTTTTCCTTTAAAATTTCTTGTATATCTTTCCTTCTTCCTGCTTCTCACTGCCACTACCTGAGATTAGTATTTTATTGTCCTATACCTAAATTATGAAATAGCCTCCTTCTCTCATCTCTCACTCCTTCCTCACACTGATGTCAAAGTGTAAAGGACTTGGGTAAATATAGGACCATGGAATTTAACAAAAAGACATGGTACTACTTGAACATACAAAAGAATGATTGGCAAAGCAGGTACACCAGAGAGCAAAATCAGAGAGTTAAGTTAAAGCTAAGAACAATAGGCAGGGCACATTAGATATTAATACCATGAACTCATAGTATCTTAGATACTATGAATCTAAGAGGTAAGAGTAGACATGGCAGGGAACTAGAATCCAAACTAGAAAATTTTGGTTAAAAGGTCCAAAGAACCAAGACAACGAATCTAAGCAACAAGTAGGGAGAAACCAGACAAACCAAGATGGAAGAGGAAGCATGGCTAGATTGCCAGTAGTAAGAATAGAGTTTGACAGTGAAATTATCTCCTTCTGAACAAAGAATGTGTTTATTTCTTATATAGCACCAGAACTGGCACCTGCATAGGGAGCCAGGAAGTTATTGATACAGCCTCCTTTCTAACCATCATTTCATCAAGTGACTAGTTGACTGATATAAACAGGTCAGATAAACACAATAAAAGAAAGCTAAAGTTATAAAACATTGCCAAGATTTTAAGAGAGTAATGGTTGATAAGCTTCTAAATTATCAAAAACGTCTGAAAAGACCAAACTAAAATACATGTTAAATCTAATCAAAATAAAAGGTAATTCAAGTATAATGTTAGAGTAGCTCTTAGATTGATAAATTAAGAAAAACAATTTCATGTTATATTTTAAAATTTTGATTTTATAATGATATAATTATATCAAATCAGTTTTCTTAAATCCCTAAAGCTGAACTGAATTTGTAGTTTTTAAAAATAACTTTTCTAGCCTTACCTTGTTCCTCCACCATCAATTGTAAGAATTCGGATTCCTCTCCCTTTCACTGGATCCACGTAACCAATTAAGGCCAAAATTTCTCTAACCGCAGCCTGAAGAGTTTCATCCTTAATTTGTCTCAGTCGTAATAAATATGGAATAATTCTTTCCTATATTGAGAGAAAAGATACTTTGTTGCTTTTGTCAAATCAAGGGTTAAAGAGTATGATTATTTTTAACCAACATATGTAGACTGTGGTATAAAATCAAGGTGCCAGTGTTCCTTCCTTTCTCGTTATTCTTGTTTTGTTTTGTTTTTAATTATTTAAGACCTTTATTAACAGGTGCTTGCAGTTTGTTGACTCTTTTGAAAAAATCAAGTTGTAAACTTTTATTACAAATTAAAAATGAAGTTCTTAAAAATCTCAAATTGACCAGATATGAAACAATTTAAAAACCTTTAAAGTCGTATTGAGAAAAACCAGGCTTTTTCAAAAAACGCGTTTGTTATTACCAAAAAAGGCATCTTTAGGTAAAAATAAAAACCCCACGCTGCATAGATAATGCAGATAGTTCTAGTTATCTGGTCAACGGGCAAAAAGCAAGCCCTTAAGGTCTTCAGCTCCAATCTTTCGTTCATTTCTTATTGCTGGAATTTCATATTCATTTCTTCTTGTTGGATGACTAAACCAGACGATGGTAGAGATGGTCAGCCAGCATTTATTCAGCCCTGCCCTGCTCAGCCTCGGGAGCGGAGGAATTCTCAGCTGGTGGATCGGCTGCTTTTGTCTCTTTGCCATCTTGTGGTTTAGGGTTTTCTGGGTCCTGCATCAGTAATTGAAGTTGGGGCGGTACCAGCGTTGAGGCGGCTGCTGACCTTGGGTCTCATCTCCTTGATTCTCTTTATCCTCTTCGTTGCCATCCTCTCTGGGCTGTCTTTGGCGAGGAGGGCCCCTGCGAAATCGTGGTCTACAACCCTGATACATATTCTGTCTTACTGGTGGCCTACCTTGTGCTCCTGCACCCTGGCTGTCAGCACCCTCCATCATTTCTCCCTGTACAGGAGGGTTGGAATACTGTGGTCGACACCCATAGGGTCTCCGCATGTAGTAAGGTGGGGACCTTCGCCTGCGGTAGGGCCAGCTTATTGGGCCTGGCCTTCAGGAGCACTCTCCCACCCTCATTTGTTTCCCCACTCTCAATGGTCTGATAATTCTGCTGGTAATTGCGTGGAGGAGCCCTGCGACGTGGATAGCGTCTATAATGGTTACGGTCTGCTGCGTATTTACTGCCTTGAACTGGAATTCCACCAGGGCCTGTAACATTTGCTGCCTCCCACCCTTTTCTCCTTCAACAACATCAAACTCCACAGTCTCTCCATCTCCTATACTGCGAAGGTACTTCCTGGGGTTATTCTTCTTTATGGCAGTCTGGTGTACAAATACATCTTCCTTGGTGTCATTCCTGTTGATGAAACTATATTTGTTTCTTACACTGAATCATTTTACGGTCCCCAAAACCTTCGCTGCGATGATCTTCTTGTACCCGCTGGCGGGCGCCGCCGATGTGAAGCCACCCGGGCCACCGCTCCCTGTGCCGCTGCCCGTGCTGCCGGGCTTGGAGTTGGCAGCGCTGAGGGGGGCAGGCTGCTGCGTCTCGGCCTCGCTGCTCATGGTTACGGTGATGGTGACTGGGCAGCTGTGGCTCCTCCCAGTGTGTGATGGTAACTAGGCCGGAGGCGGCGGTGGGGCTTCACAGGGCTTTCTGGGGTTCGCTCTCCACTCCTGCTACTGATCGAACTCTCTTGTTATTCTTAAATGATAAATTATTAGTTTCTGACATACTAATGTCTATTAATATCTAAGATATATTTGTCCTAATATCAAGGACAAAAATTAACCTTTATCCAAATATTTCTTTAAAAGGTATGATGCTTAAAAATTAAAGAAGACATAATTTGTTTAACACAAATTTACAGAGTATTGTTACAATAAAAGGTTGCCATTATAAATTTCACACAATATTTTGTCCAAATTCTAAAGACGATAAAACTGCTTCATAATAATTATTGGAAATGAAACTATTATTAAAAGGAAAAAATAAGCCATCTTGTGTACATTGAACATGGAATACAGGGGGACCTCATAGTGGAATATGAACAAATGATAATAAGTGAAACTGGAGTAGAAAATAAAATCTGACCACTATAATTAAATAATTAGTGTAAGTAAACCTCGGACTTCAAGATTTTAAGCATTCAACTTCCTACTGTTGATTACAGGAAAGAGCTTATTTATTTATTCCCCCCCCCCACTAATCTGATGGGAAGCAAGAACATGTAAGAGCTTAAATCCTAGGGTTCTCTGTCTCTTACCACAGATTCTCTAGCTTCTGTACACAGAGCATCTTATATGGTCAGTACCCCAGGTTTAATGGAATGGTTGATGGCAGCTATACTTCTGCACTCATGTTGAAATTTCATCCCCAATGTTGGAGGTGGGACCTAATGAGAGGTGTTTGGGTCATGGAGATAGATCCCTCATGAATAGATTAACGCCCTCCCTGGGGAGGAGTGAGTTCTCACACCTTTAGTTCCCAAGAAAGTTGGTTGTTAAAAAGAGCCTGATACGTTCCCTATCACTCTCTTGCTTCCTCTCTCCTCATATGATCTATGCACAGATGGCTCACCTTTGCCTTTCACCATGAGTGGAAGCAGCCTGATGTCCTCATCGGATGCAAATGCCCAATCTAGAACTTTTTCAGACATCAGAATTGTGAGCTAATAAACTTCTTTTCTTTCTAAATTACCCAGCCTCAGGTATTCCTTTATAGCAACACAAAAGAGACTAAGACATGGCTGATGGGATAATGGTTCTAGGATAACTATCCAATTAAAAGCAGATTGTCATCACCCTAATCCAGTGGTCACCCTTAGCATTACTAATAGTTGCTCAACCAATTATTATGTGTGTCCTGATATGGAGCATTATAAGGCAAATGACATTACCTACAATGTACTCTAATGAGAAAATGTTTAACTCAATCAATCATGCCTTTATATATAAATTCCAGTGTACAAGAGACAAAAAGGAAAGAGGAACACATCAAATAAAACCAATAAGAAGGAAACTAGGTAAATCCAGAAAGTGAGTCATTCTGCAAGTTAACCAGAACACTTTCTTCAGTTGGTCAGTTTTGAAGGCGGGGGTAAAAAAGGACTGTGTTATAAGGGAGTTGGAGAAATAATCAGATGCAATGTGTGGTCTAGACTGAACTCTCATTTGGGTCCAATCAGTTATATAAAGAACATTTTTGAGCTGTGTATATAGATGAAAATTTACTGATACAGAAGGTTGCACACTGTAAGCTCAAAAAACAGGTTAGAAAACAGTATATACAGAATGAGTTTATTTTGGTATACATATGCATAAAACAATTCCTGGAGGAATATTTTGGCAGACATCACTAATGTTCACCAATACCCAGTCTGCATCTCCTCCTAAGCACACAGAAGTCTATACTTCTCAGGCCCATGCAACTGAACAGGATAAATAGTCTATGAGCAGAAGAAACCTATGGCACCTTCTGCTGGAATACTCTTATGCTGCTACAGAAATTATGGAGAAAACTTCAACTGAAATACAGGTAACAAGATCAAAGTAGCCTCCATATGGAGGTTCTCTGGGCTGGTGAGTCACCTAAACCCAGGGCCAACTTTGCAAGAGTGAGAAATAAATTTCTGGGTTTTGTTAAGCCACTGAGATTTTGGTGTTGTAATATTAGAGTTTAACTCAGCTGACCAATACAAATAAACCCTAATATATTACAGTGATAATCTCAGGGTAGTAGCAATATATTATTTATATTTTTATTTTCTTATTTTTCTTTCCTTTTTTTCTAATTTTCTCCAATGTCCATGTGCTGCCCTGCTCTTTTTAAACAATTAAAGGTTATTTTTTAAATTTAAAAATGTAGTGAAGAGAGACCACCTTCATCACCAACAGTGAAAAAATTATCAAACACACTTCCCTAGATGTGGCTGCCACAAATGCAGCACACAAAATAGGCAACTAGGGTTTTTTTTTTTTTTAATGGTATTAGGTATCAAAGACAATTTCCTAGATTTGGCTACCATAAATATGGTACATACATAAAAAAAGTAAAATTCATATTGAAGTTCTATAACATACAATTATAGCATCTTTAAAAAGCTTAATTCTTAATAATGAAAAGTTTCATTGGAAAAGTTTACAAGAGTGTACATGATGACATGTCTTAAGGAATATATCCACATCATTGTTTTTTAGATGCTTATTTAAGGGAAGGGCAACAACTTTCTTCGGGCTTTCCTGATTTTTATTCATGATTGATCTGAATATATTAATATATTTCTATCATATTTCTTCTTGGTATTGAAGAGTCCTTAGATTTGGGATCAGTTATGTAAGATAAGAGTCCTCAAAGTTTTAATTAGTAAAACTATTCATGATAAACTAAAACTGAAAACTACCCAGAAATCCTTCAATAGCACAATGAATAAACTGTGATACATTTACACCATGAAATATAAGGACAATTAGAATGAATGATTTCCAGGCACCCATAACAATGTAAATGATTTCCATCAACATGCTGAATGAAAGAAGCCAATCACACAAGTGTTCATATAACATAGAAAAGCAGGCAAAACTAACCTGTGATTACCTTTTTGGGAGATTGTGACTGAAACAGGGCACAAAGGAGACTTCTGAGGTACTGGTTATGTCCTGTTTCTTCATCTGGGTGCTAACTACAAGGACGTGTTCAGTTTGTAACTAAACTTCACAGAACTTTAGGCTTACAGATATATCTGTATTATACTTCAATGTTTTCTAAAAGTTTTTTAAGATATGTGCTATGATCTGAATGTTGGCGTCCCCTCTAAAATTCATATGTTGAAATCTAGTACCGAATACAATAATATTAAAAGGTGAGAAGTAAGGCCTTTTGGAGAGTAAGTCATGAGGGCTCTACCTCATAAATAGTATTAGAGTGCCCCTGTAAAAGACATTGAAGGGAGCTGCCTAGCCCCTTCTGCCATGTGAGTATGCCACAGGACGCCATCTATGAGGAACAGAACCCTCGCCAGACATCACATCTGCTGGTGCCTTGATCTTGGACTTCCTAGCCTCTGGAACTGTGAGAAATAAATTCTGTTGCATATAAATTGCCCAGTCTAAAGTATTTTGTTATAGCACCCGAATGGACTAAGATAGCATGTAATTCTATTTTAGATGTCTGCTTTCAGTATATCACTAAAATGTAAAATATACTTAAAGGCGTATGTATATTTGGAAAATTTATCTTTTAGGTAAGGGATTATATAAATAGAAAAGACAATCCCAAATTTTAGAAACATGAAATACCAAAACTTATCTATTATAATGTATGTGTTATATAAAACTAAGGAAGGGTACCTTATTCAAAGATGTAGATAATTTCTCAGCAAAGTGATTATCAAAAAATAGGGTAATTGTGAACTAAGTTAACATAATTTTCTGAACGGTAAGCTAAAACCAAGTACTAGTCGATTTCTAACAAAATTTTAGCAACATCTATCACTGTATGATATTTTCAAATTGTACATTAAATATTACAAGTAATCTTAATAGTACAGATGTAAAGAGACTCAACCACATTAAGTCCTATTTTTCAGCATTTCTCTGAAAATAGTCTCTTCAAACGGGTCTAAATTATCTTCACTATTTTATAATTGAAAAAACTAAGGCAAAGTAAAGCTAATTGTTCTACTTAATAAGATTACCAATTCAATTATCAATAAGGTCATTAAAATTTTTAGACTTTCAAATATGAAAGGACCATGAAATAAGAACTAGCAAGAATTTACATATGAATTATGTCTCCTGTCTTAAGAGTAGTTACATAGTATAAATATCTCATTGTATTTTAAAAAACATGACTAGCAGCTGTTAGACAATTCAGCTAATATACTGATATTTATCTTCTATATTATAAAGGTTTAATATCAAAGGACAAATATTAATACTAATAGCATAATTTATATTACAGAATAAAATGGATTGCTTAGCATAATGTATATAACAGGGCAATTACTAAACATATATCGCATGTATAATAAAAACCACAAAAAAATTCAAATAAAAACATGAAAGGCTTTGGCCTTTCCATTCCTCTTCCATTTTAGAAAGTTCATTAGTATTTTTGTTCCAAGACAAAACCTTATTAAATAAGTTAGAAATTACCTTGACAGCCACTCCTTTTCCTTCAGGAAATTCTAGAAGATGAAAAGTCAATTCTTCAACCCTAGTAATGCAGAGCTTTGGGTCAGCTGTTCTTCTTAATGCCTGAACTAATGCCCTGGTTCTGTTATCAATACTCACTCTTGCAATAATCTACAAAGACATATTAAATAACATATGATTAAAATATGAAACCACTCTAAATAACAATTAAAGTTACGTAGGTCCCATTAGGAAATGAAACTTATAAATTTGACAAAAGTTAATACAATTTAAACCTACAATGAATAACAACTTGCCTTTTCTCGCTGAAGAGATAAACGCTTTTTCTCCTCTGCATTTTTGTCCTTGCTGATAGCCTGCTCAGTTTTAGCAGGTTCTTCCTGTTCTTCTGACTGACTCTTTGAATCATACTTTAATTTGGGGACAAGTCCACCAATATAACCACCTACTAAAGCTTGTACACCTTCGGTGGGACGAGAAAGAAAGTTAGCAATACTTTGTTTAGTAGACACTGGAAGAACCTCAGGTATCCCACTGGGACTTGCAGGCTTGTCCCCAGGATCTAAAGAAGATTTTGAGCCTGGCTTATCAGTCAAGATGCCAGGATCTGGAGAACTTGATTTCCCTTCTTCAACGTTTTTACCTTCAAGTTCTGATTTGTTCAGGAAATGTTTATTTTCCTTTTCTTGAGACATTTTTTCCTCACGTTTGAAATATGAATTAATATGATTTGATAAAAAGTAGAATGATTCTCCAAATTTTGTGGTTATAGAATTTGTGTAATGAAAAACACTTTGTTTACCTGTATCTTCTTCTTTATCTATAACATGACTTTTCTCTTCTGGAAAAGGATTCTTTTCTGCTGATTTATCACTATATTTTTCCAGAGATTTGATGGCTTGTTTAATGTTTTTCTGTTTTAACCAGCCACTATCTGTTACTTTTCTTAATATTCCAGAACTCGGCTTAAATTGAGCTAAACGTGAAATCATTTCATTTTGACTGCCAAAAACAGCCTTTGAAACAGAGTTCAAAGTACTTTTAATACGGGACATACGAATGCTCACTTTTGTAAGTCCCTTAGGGGCAGAAGTGCTAAGTTTCAAAATTCCAATATGTAAACCATGGTTGCTTGGAGAGTAACAGTGCTTACTGCAAGAATGTGCTTGACTTTTGGTCCATTTACATCTTATTTTGCTTGTATGAAAACCTCTTTGTAGACTGATGTGACTTATCCTCCAGTAATGTTTAGATGCAAACAAGAAATGCAGTTGCTTGCTTCTCTGCTTCCCACAAAGACTTCTTGCATTACTAAGGAGGTAAATATATATATCTACAGTCAAATTAATAGACATAACTTAAAAATCATCTATTTTCTATATGACATTCTCTCATTTCATTCCTGAATGCTTCATTTAAGAAATCCTATAATTCATGTTCTTACCTGAAATGGCAAGGAAAAAAAAATAAAAATTCAAGTTAAAATTGAAACATGGTGTAATACAAAATACATGACTATTTGAACTAAACTCAGTAAATTATCCCAAAAAGGGGCACAATTATATATTTCCATAATGGCTGATATGCATTTCATTTTTAAGATAATAAAAAATAATTGACAGTTGAAAGCATTCCTCCTTAGAACTGGAACCAGACAAGGTTGTCCACCGTCACCACTTCTATTCAACATAGTGCTGGAAGTCCTAGCCAGAGCAATCAGGCAAGAGAAGGAAATCAAGGGTATCCAAATGGGAAAAGAAGAGATCAAACTATCGGTCTTTACTGATGTTATGATCTTATATCTAGAAAACCCCAAAGATTTTGCCACGAGACTCCTGGAATTGATAAATAAATTCAGCAAAGTCTCAGGTTACAAAATCAATGTACACAAATCAATAGCATTCCTATACACCAACAACAGTCAAGCTAAGAATCAAATCAAAGACTCAATACCTTTCACAATAGCAACAAAGAAAATAAAATTACCTAGGAATATATTTAACCAAGGAGGTGAAAGACCTCTACAGGTAGAACTACGAAACAATGAGGAAGGAAATCACAGAGGATGTAAACAAATGGAAAAACACATCGTGCTCATGGATCGGCAGAATCAACATTGTTAAAATGTCTATACCACTCAAAGTGATTTACAGATTCAATGTGATCCCCATTAAAATACTGTCATTTTTCACATATCTAGAAAAAATAATTCTATGCTTCATATGGAACCAGAAAAGACCCTGTGTAGCAAAAGCAATCCTAAACAAAAAGAACAAACTGGGAGGCATCAAGCCATTATACGGACTTCAAGCTGTACTACAAGGCTATAGTAATCAAAACAGCATGGTACTGGCATGAGAACAGAGATATAGGCCAATGGATCACAACAGAGAACCCAGATATAAAACTATCCTCAAACGGCCATCTGATCTTTGACAAAGCAAACAAAAACATACCCTGGGGGAAAAAATCCCTATTCAATAAATGGTGCTGGGAAAATTGGATAGCCACATATAGAAGACTGAAACAGGATCTGCACCTCTCACCACTCACAAAAATTAATTCACAATGGATAACAGACTTAAACCTGAGGCATGACACTATAAGAATTCTAGAAGAAAATGTCAGAAAAATTCTTACAGACATTGGCCTAGGCAAAGAATTTATGAAATCCTCAAAGGCAATCACAGTAACAACAAAAATAAATGAATAGGACCTGATTAAATTAAAAAGCTTCTGCACAGGCAAGGAAACAATCCATAGTGTGAATAGACAACCTACAGAATGGGAGAAAATATCCACATGCCATACATCCAACAAAGGGCTAATAACCAGAATCTACAAAGAACTCAAGGAAATCAGCAAGAAAAAAAATCAAACAACACCATTAAAAAGTGGACAAAAGACAGGAACAGAAGCTTTTCAAAAGAAGATAGACTGATGGACAATAAACATATGAAAAAATGCTCAACATCTCTAATTATCAGGGAAATGTAAATCAAAACCACAATGACATATCACTTAACTCCAGTGAGAATGGCTTTTATCAAAAAGTCCCGAAACAACAGATGCTTCTATAGGAGGGGGAGGAGAACTGAAATACACCAGAGTACACTGTTCTTCTTCACAAGGTCTTCCCTCAGGAGAAATTATTAGTAGTTAACCATAAACTAACCTGCTGGGGTTTTATCAGAGCCTAACTGACCTGGAAAAAGGGAAATACTCAATTCTGGCCCACTGTAGTACCCTGTCCCACCTAGGGTGAGGGAAAAACTAAGATGCACTTGAGAAGTTCATAGTCGAGAAGCATAGACTCACTAAAAGACTGAGACCTAATCAAAGAACTAGAGAAAGCTTCTTTTCCCCTCACACCTTACCACCACATTACTAAAGGCCTATTTACAGCATTTCCTTTTACCCAGCACATCATGTCTGGCTGTTGAGAAAAAATTACAAGGCATACTAAAAGGCAAAAAACACAACTTGAGACAAAGTAAACATCAGAACCAGACATGGAAGGAATGTTGGAATTATCAGGCCTGGAATTTCAAACAACTATGATTAATATGCTAAGGGCTCTAATGGATAAAGCAGATAGCATGCAAGAAAAGATGGGCAATGTATGCAGAGAGACTGAAATCCTAAAAAAGAACCAATAAGAAATGCTAGAGATCAAAAGCACTATAACAGAAACGAAGAATGCCTTTAATGGGCTTATTAGTAGACTGAAGAAGAACATCTCTGAGCTTGAGGATATATCAATAGAAAACCTCAGAACTGAAAAGCAAAATAACAAAGACTGAAGCAAACATCACATAATATCAAGGATTGAGGGACAACTACAAAAGGCATAAATGTGTGAAATGCATATATCAGAAAGAGAAGAGAAAAAATATTGAAATAACAAGTATTGAAAATATCTCCAAAGTAATATCAGACACCAAACCATAGATCCAGAAAGCTCAGAGAACATCAAGCGGCATAAATGCCAAAAAAAAAAAACCAAAAACCCTGTACCTATGCATACCATTCTCAAACTACAGAAAATCTAAGACAAGGAAAAAATCCTCAAAGAAGCTAGAGGAAAAAACACCTTACCTATTGAGGAATAAAGATAAGAATGACCTCCAACTTCCCCTCAGAAACCATGAAAATAAGGAGAAAGTAAAGTAAAATATTTAAAATGTTGACATAAAAAAACCTACCAACCTAGAATTCTGAACTGTGCAAAAATTATCCTCCGAATTTGAATGAAAAATAGAGACTTTCTCAAAAAAAGATTGAGGAAATTTGTTACCAGTAGACCTGCATTGCAAGAAATGTTAAAATTCTTTCTGAGAGAAAAATAATATAGGTTAGAAACTTAGATCACCATAAAGAAAGGAAGAGCACTGAAGAAGGAATAAGTGAAGGTAAAATATGAACTTTTATTTTTCTTATTCTTAATTCATCTAAGAGATAACAGTTTGTTCAAAATATAAATAGCAACAATGTGCTCAAGTATGTATATTTATGTATATATCATGTATCCTTATGTATGTATATGCTTATATATATGTGAAATGAATGACAGCAATGATAAAAGGGATAGAAGAGAGAAATTAGGATTATTTTGTTATTATAACCTACTCATATTACCCGTGAAGTAGTATAGTGTTATTTGAAAATAGACTTGGATTAGTTATAAATGTATATTACAAACTCTAGGGCCACAACTTAAAAAAGTTAAAAAAAAAGAAAAAAAAAGAAGTGTAACTGATATGGAGAATGGAGAAAAAAACAGAATTATATGAAATGCCCAATTAAAACCACAAAAGGCAGAAAAAGAAGTGGAAAATAAAAATAGGAATAAAGAAAAAGGCTGACAAATAGAAAACAGTAAAAAACATGGTAGATATTAATCCAACTGTGTCAATAATCATGTTGAATGTCAATGGTGTAAATGCACCAATCAAAAGACAGAGATTGTCAGAGTGGATTAAAAAAAAAAAGACCCAACAATGTTGTCTGCAAGAAACACACTTTAAATATAAAGAAATATATATTCCAGCAAAAGAAGAAATAAAATTGTCTTTGGTTACAGATGACATGATTGCCTATGTAGAAAATCCAAAAGAGTCAACAGAAAAGCTCCTGGAATTAATAAGCAATTATATTAATAGCTTGGTTACAGAATATAAGGTTAATATACAAAAGCTTACATACCAGCAATGAACAACTGAAATCTGAAAAACACAGTATCATTTACAGTAGCATGGCCCAAAAATGAAATACTTACGTATAAATCTAATAAAATATGTATAAGGAGGAAAACTATAAAACTCTGATGAAAGAAATCAAAGAACTAAATAAGTGGAGAGATATTCCATGTTTATCAATGGGAAAACTCAGTATTCTCAAGGTGTCAGTTCTTTCCAAATTTATCTACAGATAAACAAAATCTTAATTAAAATTTCAGCAAGTTATTTCGTGTGTATCAACAAACTGATTCTAAAGTTTACACGGAGAGGCAAAAGAGCCAGAATGGCTAGCACAGGATTGAAGGAGAACAATAAAGTTGGAGGACTGACACTACTCAACTTCAAGGCTTACTATTAAGCTACAGAAATCAAGACAATGTGGTATTGGTCAAAGAGCAAATAGATCAATGGAACAGAATAGAAAGCCCATAAATAGACCCAATTAAATATAGTTAACTGACTATGACAAAAGAGCAAAGGCAATAATACAACAGAGCAAAGATAGTCTTCTCAATAAATGGTGCTAGAACAACTGGACATCCACATGCAAAATAATGAATCTAGACACAGAACTTACATCTTTCACAAAAATTAACTCTAAATGGATCATAGACCTAAACGTAAAATGCAAATCTATAAAACTTCTGGAATACAACATAGGGGAAAACCTAGATGACCCAGGGAATGGCAATGACTTTTTAGCCATAACACCAAAAGCATGATCTATAAAAGAAACAATCAATAAGGTAGACTTCGTTAAAATTAAAAATCTCTGCTCTATGATAGTGTCAAAAGAATGAGAAGACAAGGCAGAAATTGGGAGAAAATATTTGTAAGAGACATATCTGATAAAGGGCTGGTATCCAAAATATACAAAAAACTCTTTAAACTCAACAATAAGAAAACAAAAAACAGTTAAAAATGGGCCAAAGATGTTAAAAGCCACTGCATCAAGAGATTAAGAGATTAACAGATAGCAAATAAACATATGAAAATTGTACCACATCATATGTCATCAGGAAAATACAAATTAACACAATAAGATACTATTACACACCCATAAGAATGGCC